TTCTAGTTTCCCATTCACCCTTGAGCTGATAAATAACAAGGGATGAGTCACCGAATACTTTGAGTTTGGTTACCCCGTGATCCAAGGCCGTTTGAATACCTAGAGCACAGGCCTCATATTCTGCCATATTGTTTGTACAGTCGAAGGTTAATCTGGCTGTTATCGGGATATGCTTCTTTTCAGGCGATATTAAAATAGCTCCGATCCCATGTCCTAGTAAGTTTGAAGCTCCATTGAAAAACATGATCCACTCATCATTTTTAAGCTCTTCATGTTGAATATGCATTATATGCTCATCTGGAAAATCATCTTGGAGGGATTGATATTCGTCTGTTGGCCCATGTGCTAGGTAGTCTGCCAAAGGACTGGCTTTTATAGCTTTCTGAGTGATATGAATAATATCAAATTCTGAGAGGAGTACTTGCCATCTAGCTATCCTTCCGGTCAAGATGGGTTTTTCAAACAAGTATTTGATTGGGTCCATTTTGGAAATTAACCAAGTTGTATGTCTGACCATATATTGTCGAAGGCGTTGAGTTGCCCACACCAATGCACAACATGTTTTTTCGAGTGGTGTATAACGGGTCTCATAGTTTAGGAATTTTTTACTGAGGTAATATATGGCTTGTTCTTTTTTACCAGTGTCATCTTGTTGACCGAGCACACATCCCATGGACTCGTCGAGTACTGATAGGTAAAGAATTAGGGGTCTCCCTTCCACAGGTGGTATTAATACTGGAGGATTAGTTAGGCATATTTTGATATTTTCGAAGGCTCGTTGACATTCATCGTTCCAAACTGTCGGTTGGTTTTTACGCAATAACTTGAAGATGGGCATACATTTATCTGTTAATTGCGCAATGAACCGTGCGATGTAGTTTATTCGGCCTAAGAACCCTCTAACTTCTTTTTCTGTTCTTGGCGGGGGCATCTCTATGATTGCTTTTGTTTTATCAGGGTCCACCTCAATTCCTTTTTTACTGACGATGAACCCGAGAAGTTTTCCTGATCGTACTCCGAACGTGCATTTAGCCGGATTAAGCTTAATCTGGTATTTTCGAAGCCGATTGAATAATTTCGTTAAGTGTAGGAAGTGATCTGTCTCATTTTTAGACTTGACAATCATATCATCCACGTATACTTCGATTTCTTTGTGGATCATATCGTGAAATAGTGTAACCATAGCCCTTTGATAGGTCGCCCTGCATTCTTAAGTCCAAACGGCATCACTCTATAACAAAATGTCCCCCATGGCGTAATGAAGGAAGTTTTTTCTCGTCTTCGACAATCTATTTGATTTGATTATACCCTGCATATCCATCCATGAAAGAATAAAGAGTATTTGTAGCAGTGTGATCTACGAGCATATCAATATGTGGTAAGGGAAATCATCTTTCGAACTTGCACGTTCAAGTCCCTGGAATCTACGCATACTCCGATTTTTCCATTTTTCTTTATAACTGGCACAATATTTGCCAACCATTCAGGGTATTTTGAAACGATCAGGAATTGGCATCCAACCGTTTTTCTACTTCTTCTTTAATTTTTAAGGACCATTCTGGTTTTACTCTTCTAAGTTTTTGTTTAACTGGCCGAAATCCCTCTTTTAATGGTAATCGATGCTCCACTATACTTTTATCGATCCCAGGCATATCATGGTAGGACCACGCAAACACGTCCATATATTCTCTTAGCAATTGTATTAGTTTTTCTTTGACATCATCATCAATTTGGGTTCCAATATTTACTTCTTTCTTATTATCTTCTTGTCCCAGATCGATGACCTCAGCTTTCTCCTCGATGGGGCTGTATTGATTGCGCTTCTTTTTCTAGCAGTCTTTGCATGTCCTGGAAATGGTCCCCTCCTCACTGTCCGACTCAATCCATTCGTCTTCAGCTTTCAGATCTTCCAAGGAGTTTTCAATCACGAGACATGACTGGTATGGGTTATGCTTTGTTTTAGATTTCTTTATGAGACGTATGAGAGAGAAAAGAATGAAAGAGAATATGGATATTAAAAAAAATGCCTTATTGTATTGATAGAAGAAAATATTTACAAAGCCCTTATTAACCAAAAATCTTGTGATCATGGGCAGGGATCACGAGAAATACATCGGAAGTTTTTTTTTTTATATCTATTTTTATCTATATTTTTTATTGCAAAAGATGATAAAAATGATGAGCCCTAATCTGCGGTCTCCGTTATCCCATCTTTTATTCGGGCATTGATAGGGGCTGGTCATCCACCTTCTGAGTAGATGCGTCAAAGGTAATCCATCCCGCGTCTATTAGATTCTGGACCTTGTGCTTTAGGGCTACACAACTTTCGATGGAGTGCCCTGGAGAACCTGAATGGTAATCACAGCTTTCATTAGATTTATACCATTCTGGGTATGGTGGCTCCATTTTCTTGGGAGGGACGCGCACGAGGAGCTTGGCGTCCAACAATTTCAAAAATAGACTTCCATAGGAGGTAGGTATGGAAGTGAATTTCCTCTCCTGTCCGCGTGGTTTGGCTTGTTGTGAGGAAGAAGAAGGAGTGGCAATGTTGATTGCATTTACAGTTCCTTCCTTCTTCTTTCCAAAGCTCTTTTTATCATTCGGAGTAGAGGAATTGGAGGTAGTATGCTCGTGCAATTCTTCCGCTTTTCAGACCTTGCTCTACTCTTTCTCCTATAATTACCACATCCGCAAAGAGTGTTGATGTGTTCCCTATCATTTTGTCGTAATAGGGACCAGTCAAAGAATTGATGAACATGGATGTGGTTTCCTTGTCGGATAGAGGAGGTTCCACTTGCGCTGCCAATTCCCTCCATCTTTGGGCATATGCTTTGAAGGATTCGTCGTTTTTCTTGCTTAATAATTGTAGATCTGCTCTTTCAGGGGTCAGGTCAATGTTGTATTTATAACGACGAAGAAATGCATCTGCCATATGTCTCCAGGTTTGGATTTGCCCTCCTTCCAGTTGCATATACCAGTTTAAAGCTGATTCAGCCAGGCTCTCCTGAAAGCAGTGGATCAGGAGTTTTTCATTATCAGCATGTGCAGCCATCTTACGACAGTACATTGTAAGATGGCTTCTTGGGCAGGTCGTTCCCATGTATTTTGGGAAGTCCGGAGTTTTGAACTTGTTAGGGAATTGGATATTTTTGACGAGGCACATATCAGCTGCTTCTTTTATATCAAAGTTATGACCTTCCATGGCTCTCAGCCTTTCTTCAAGAGCAGTGATTTGTTGTTTTGATATTTCAGGAGCATGAATATGTACTGCTCTTGTGTCAGAATGATCGTGCTCACTTTGAGGTTCCTCTTCTTCTTCTTGGTGAGAGGCTTGTCCATTCTGAGGATCCTCTCGATGAAGATTCTGTTGATGCATCATTTCTAGCATTTGAGCCATTTGCTCTTTCAGCGTAGTAAGCTCAGCGGTGAGCTTTCGGTTTTGCTCTTCTAGTTGTTCCATCTTCTTAGCTTTTTGAGCACGAGTGAGGACGGGCGGAAGACCAGCCACCTTCTAAATGATTTTAATGATTCTTATTATGACTTTTTATTTTAAATGATTAGCGTGGAATAAATACGCCCTAGGATGAATGTGTTTATGTATGAGAGGTTTTATTATGATGATGTTTATGCATACTTTTCTTAATGCATTGGTTTTCTCTCTTGGTTTTACCACTTATTGAATGATATGGTATGAATGATACGACTTTGCCAAAAATCTTTTGTAAAAAGGTATTTTTATGACCTTAATGTTTTTATATTTTTTTATGATTTTTAGGGTTTTTCACTTTTTTATGATTTTTAGGGTTTTTCACTTTTTTATGATTTTTTTAGGGTTTTTCACTTTTTTTTTTGTTTGTTGTATGATTACCCTATGCTAATGCATCAATACAAATGCAGCAAACTTATGCACACACAATTCATACATCCACGAGCAGAGCCACGCTTATTTAATCACGAGGTAGGATTTTCCTGCAGAAACGTGCTTGGTTTAGGTGGTTCTAACTGTTCTCACCAGGCCAAAGGTCCCCAAGGTGCCCCCATTATAGTGACCTCTCAATCTCTCAATCCTCGGGTCATGCACGGAACTCCGTGGCGACACCCTTAGACCAAAAGAAGAGAGTTATCACCTTGAGTTGGTGGTTTTCCGACAACGGCAGTAGCCCCGTGTGCCAACTAACCGATCGTATCTGCCACCCACTCCCTATAGATATTCACTCTTGCCCCCGGGTATAGAGGGACTGTTGTGTGCAAGGGTTCTTGTGTGCAATTTATATTTCAAACAATTGCAGAAATAATCATACAACAGTTATTAAAGCCATACAATAAAAACATACAGAAGGGTAAAGGCGTAATTTCAAATCTTTACTTAGTTTGAATTTATCTGTCACTAAATGGGATCAACTCTCTAGCTTCCCCAGTGGAGTCGCCATCTGTCGCCGCCGTCCCTTTCGACGTCCGGAGGACGTCTCGAAACGTTTATGCGAGCGGTCGCGAAAAGATGGTTTAGACTCGCGTATTTGTTTTAAAAGGTTTTCGAAAAGAGGTTCTTATGGAGTCGCCACCAATGTTTTAACCTTAAACATTGGAAAAGGAAAAAATGTTGATTTTAAGAAAAACCGCACTTGGCCATTATAACCAGAGTTGGGTAAGGGAGTTAGTTACGTGTGGGGAAGGTGTTAGCACCCCACAACGCCCCTTTCGGGTTCCCTATGACAGATTAATTCATTTAAATAAAGACTACAAGAAATTACGCGATTACCCTATTTTATTACATAATATTAAATGGCTATCTATATGATTTTATTCTATGTTATATGCATAAAATGATGAATAAAGCTAAATAAAGCAATAAAAGAGATATTAAAATAGTTATCTACATGATTTTATTCTACATGACATAAATAGTAAATAAAGCTAAATAAAACAATAAATAAAGCAATAAAAGAGAAGAGAATTGAAAAGAACCTCCGTAGCAAGCTTTGTATTGAGAATCTCCAACTATGAGGATGCGTTTTGGCAACCCCTCTCTCTACACAGACTCTCCTCACCAATACAAGATCGACCCCACTAAAAATTTAAAGAAGAATCGAATGCCGGAATATAATTCCTTAACCGATTGTTACCTATTTAAGGCAATCGGAAAGATCATTCGAGAGAGAGAGAGAAGTAGACAAGTGCTCTAAAGTGTTTCAGAGCTCTCTGGAGTGTCTGTGGTGTGAAAAAGTGGCAAATGAGCCTCCTATTTATAGTTTTTCGCAGCTGGCGCACTTTGGGACGGCCGTCTGGGGTGGGACGGCCGTCTGGACTGGGACAGCCGTCCCAAATGGCAAAATTACACAGGCTGGGACCCCCTGGGAACCCGGGACGGCCGTCCCACATAACTGGGGCTCGGGACGGCCGTCCCAACTTCGGGACGCGCGTCCCAACTGGCTGGGGCAGGTTGGGACGGCCGTCCCAACTGGGACGGCCGTCTCAACCTGTTCTGGCCAGTTTCGCGCGTTTCGGGACTCCGGGAAGCTCTCCTTGCCTGTTTTGGACGTCAATTGATGCCGATATGTGTCTATTGAAGCTTTATCTTCATATGGGAAGTCTCCTTGGCTCTTATTTGTAATGCTAGACGAGCTTTATCTTGTTACGGGTGATCTCCTTTATCTTTATTTGAGAGGCCGGGCAAAATTAGGTCTACACTTATTTTTAAGGTTTTGGTGGGTACCTACCCCCACCCGGTGCGAATCTGCATTTTTGCTAGATTCTGATGAGTACTTACCCTCATCCGGTCTGAACCCCGTTCTGCAAGGTTCTGATGGGTACCTACCCCCACCTGGTCCGAATCTCGTTCTGCAAGATTCTGATGGGTACCTACCCCCACCTGGTCTGAATCTCGTTCTGTAAGATTCTGATGGGTACCTATCCCCACCCGGTCCGAACCCCGTTCCGCAAGGCTCGATGGGTACCTACCCCACCCGGTCCGAACCCCGTTCTACAAGGCTACGATGGGTACCTACCCCCACCTGGTCCGAACCCCGTTCTGCAAGGCTCGATGGGTACCTACCCCCACCCGGTCCGAACCCCGTTCGCAAGGCTCGATGGGTACCTACCCCACCCGGTCCGAATCTCGTTCCGCAACATTCGATGGGTACCTACCCCACCTGGTTCGAATCTCGTTCCGCAAGATTCTGATGGGTACCTACCCCCACCCGTCCGAACCCCGTTCTGCAAGGCTCCGATGGGTACCTACCCCCACCCGGTCCGAACCACCGTTCGCAAGGCTCTGATGGGTACCTACCCCCACCCAGTCCGAACCCCGTTCTGCAAGGTTCTCAGGATGCACTTTTTGGTAGTTAATCCTGTGATTATCTGTTTTTGGAGATATGTTGGCGACTTATTGTTTCTGTTCATGCGCCCATTCCGTGGGGAATATTTGATTTAACTTTTTGACTTTTTTAGTCATCCGGTTTTTGCCGGGGATTCTTTGTTTTTGGCTTTTTCTTTTAGCCATCCGGTCTTGACCGGGGATTCTTGTTAGTTGCCTCTTTTTAGGCGGGAATCCTCTGGGGATTTTGAATTCTCTTCTTGATTGTGCCTCTTGATTAGGCGAAGATTCATTTGGGGATTTTGTTGTGCCTCTTGATTAGGCGAATGCTTCAATAATGGTGAAGACTTTGAGGGTTTGAATTGCCTCTTGCATAGGTTGATTTCCCATTTCTTGGGGATATTAGTTTTTTGCTTGCTTGTTGCAAGTGAAGGCTTTGTGCTTTACTATGGATATCCATCTTTGGGTGTTATGAGCGATTAACTCCCTGTGGATATAATTTTGTAGCTTGCCTTTGTCGTAGGCTCACTGGGGTAGTTTTCTTGTTGATGATCCACTGGGGAATTTAATTTCATTCCGGAGATCTGTCTTGAATTGTCCCTCTAGGGAGAAATGGAGTTTTTCGACTCCTTATTGGCTGCTGTTGTTTGAGCTGGTTTTGCCTAAGCTCTTATTTTGCTGGGGAATGGGTTTTTACCCTTTTCTCGCGATTTCTGATTTGGTTTTTTGCATGTGTGCTCTTTTATGCACATTGGCTTCTTCTTTGAATGAAAAGATATCTTTTTTCTTTTTTCTTTTCGGTGATCCCTGGGAAATTTTCCTTTATTTCTTTAGGGATCCAACTTTGATGATGGAGTCTTGGCTCTTGGCTTTGTGAAGCTTTTTATTGATCGGGGTGAAGATTTTTCTTCTTTTCCTTTTTTGTGGAGATTTTTCTTGATATGCTCTGTTTAGAGACATTTATTTGGCCTTTTTTCTATAGTGGCCTCTGTTGCAGAAAAAAAATTTTCTTTCTTTTCTTTTTGTTGCCCCCCAGTGATATAGGGAACTTGACTTCATATGATGGGCTCTTGTGTAGCCCTTGTTCTCCATTGGGGAATGAAGCGGAGATCCTTATATGAGTGTGCTTGAGGACTCATGTGGTAATGAAGCTGAGTCACAAAGTAGTCTTTTTCATTTTGCCTTTAAAGTAGGCAAGGATCCTCTTGGGGACGGTCGAGCCTTTCCGTCGGCCTTTCTTCTTTGTTGATGTCTTTTCTGGGTGGAAGGATGCTGATTGCAGCTCCAAGTGATTTATGTTTGACGACTCATGTGGTGGTGTTGAGTCAGGGAGTATTTTTCTGCCTTTGAATAGGCAAGGATCCTCTTGAGGATGATCAAGCCTTTTCCATTGGCTTTTCTTCTCCTTCTTTTATTGGTGTAGAAGGTTGATGGTTAGAACTAGTTTCTTTGAAGCTCCTTATTTTGCTGAAGATAATTTTGATTTTGCCTTTCACGATTTTGATTTTCATTTAGAGGCTGGATTTTGGCGCCTTCTATTTTCAATTACAAGCATGGAGACTATCCTCCTTATATGCATGTTTATTATTCTTTTTTTGAAGAAAAATATTTTTTCTTGATTTTGACAAAGTCGTATTATGCAACTAATTTGTGTATGGATGACCTAAATGCAATCTATTTGTTTATTTATTTTCGATGCATTTAGAAAGTAACTAGCCTTCTCCCGTTGGCTCTTATGAATACGCCTATGGGCTCCTCCTTTATGACCATGATGATGGGCTCATCTTTTACTCATCTTTTAGTTTTAGCCCTATCTTTTGCCTAGACCGCCCTTTACGGGTTTTCGATCTAGCGGGCTGCCTTAATTTTTGCCTAGAATATCTTAGGGGGATTTTGCCTTATCTTTTGCCTAGACCGTTCTTTTGGGGTTTCCGATCTAGCAGGCTACCCTAATTTTTACCTAAGAATATCCTAGCAGACACTTATTCTTTTATTATTTTTATGCTTCCTCTTTTTAGATGCATGCTTGATCTTTGATTAAAAGTCTTTGCGCATATTTATGATTTATCAATAAAGAGGCATTTCCATAATATTTGGTCAAGAGAAAGGAAATGAAAAGGAATTTTATTGATAAATGAGCAAAAGTTTTGTTTCTTTTACAGAAGGATTTCAAGAGATATTTAGAAGAATGGGTGGTCAGGGTTGGTTGTACTGTATAGGCTTAAACAGTCATGTCCATGATATCTGCCCCCTGGTTCTCCTAATTGCTTCAGTTGAGATGCCTGAGCTTAGAGTGAAGACTATGCCAACTGCTTGCTTCTGGAAAAATGTTACCTTAGCCGCCTTTTCGGTTTTCGACTAATGTAACCATTGCTCTTAGTTTCTTTTTTTTATTTACTTTTTTTTTTATCTCTTCTTTTTGCCTAGGACGTATCCTAGCGAGGAATATGGACCCTATCTTTTGCCCAGGAATGTCCTTTGCGGATTTTCATTCCTGACGGGTCTTGAGCAATGTCTTCAAGCATAATACTTCTTCACCGTACCGGAGTTGATTAGGTGTCGAAGTTCTTTTCCATCCATATTGGCGAGGATAAGAGCCCTGTCCGAGAAAGCTCATTTGGCTACAAGGGGTCCTTCATAGTTCACTGCCCATTTTCCAATTTTATCCTTTTGGGCTGGAAGCAACTTATTTACCATTAAATCCTTCTTATGGTAAATGTGAGGGTTGATCTTTTTTCATAAGCCTTTTTGACTTTCCTTTGATAGGCTTGTTCACGACATATAACATTCAGCCGTTTTTCTTCCATAAGGTTTAACTGGTTATATTGGTTTCGAACACATTCAGCCTCTGTTAATTTTACTTCCATCATCATGTGCTTTTGTCAACATGATTAGCTGTACCGATTTTCCATCTCAGATCTTTGCTATAACCGAAGAGTAATCCTTTTGAATGTAGAGCAATTGTCATGTCAATGCCCCTCTTCCTTTCCTTAGGGATTTCAATCCTCCTATTGATCACTATATTTTCACATTCCCTAGTTAATTACTTGAATGCTTTATAGTGAAAGGTCAAGAGAAGAGAAAGAAAGGGATTTATTGCAAAGGCTTGTGTTTTAGTGAGATTTTTTTTGAGATAATAGTTTTTGTAAGAATGGCTAGCCAAGGTTGGTCGGTGTTTAGGCTAGTTTAAACAAACGTTTTGTTTTAATGAGGCGGCGTCTTCAGTTGCCTATTTGTGACTGATTAACATTCCTAGTCCACCCTTTTGGGTTTTCAGCCTAGGATGTTTGTGTTGTGTCCTAACTTTTGTCTAGGTTCCCCTTTTTATTTTTTGGGATACCTAGCGGACTTTATTTTGTCTATGACGCTTTGATTGTTTTGACGCATTTTGGATCAAAACGTTTGCCTAAACATGGTTATTTAATGGAGTATAGACATATTTAGCAAGAAGAGAAGCAGATAGTAAGAATAGCATTCTTTTGTAATTCAAAGGGAAATGCGTGCCCTAAAGATGCTCGGGGGTCAGGCACACCCCGAGGAGTGATCTCTAATAGTCATTGGGTTTACATCCCTTAAAATCGGAAGAAGGACATCTAATGATTAATGCTACCCTTGATGCTAATATCCCTCCTTTTCGGAATATTGTCTTTAAGGTATGGAGGGGAGACTTCTCTTTTCTTTGTACGACTTGATCTTTTGTAGGGTCGTACTTTAAAGGATTATCCTTAACATTTGGTGGCTCTCTTATTCTTTGAGCATCCTTTCCAAGCCCTTGTCTGGGCTGTATCCATATCTCTTCATTATATGGGCCACTTTTAAATTGCTAGGAAGTTTTTCCATATTTTCAAATGTCTTCTTCAGCCGCATCCATTTGAGGTGTGGTGGACGGCTCGCTGATTCGAATGTAGTCTTTAGCTTGAACCATGATCAACTTGTTGCCTACCACGAATTTGATTCTTCGGTGGAGCGTTGAAGAAACTGCCTTAGCACCGTGAATCCAAGGTCTACTTAATCTTCCCCTTGGATTCTTTTTTCCTTTGTTTTTAGGAGCATTATCTTGTAGCTCCTTGGATGAAAATTTTTTTTTGCTTATCATCCTGCCCCCAATGTTAGCTATATTGGAGATATCTTCATTGACAGACAATTCTTTTGTGCATATCCATAGTACAGCTTTATCCGATGTATAAGGGAAAGGACAAGGCATGGATAAGAGCAAAGGTGTTATTACCCCTTC